GTGACGGGGGAATTACCGGTCTGTACCGGGCTGTGTCGGGGACTTTACCGGTCTGTGACGGGGGAATTACCTGTCTGTAACGGTCTGTGACGGGGAAATTACCTGTCTGTAACGGTCTGTGGGGAGGGGGGTCCAAATTTCTACCCCTAAACACTTCAACACTCCTTTCAGATCGTGTTTCACAAAATCTATTTAAACAATCAATCTTACACGTGATTGTATTAATGGCTTAGTACCAAAAAGTCTTTCTTCACATCCAAATGCTTGTAACCAATAACGAGTTTTATATTCTTTAACAATTTTCATCCTTTCTTCATTTGCCATTGTTGGATTACTAGCAGATAATTTCGATAAGATCACATTTGCAACAATATCAATAGGCGAAGAATATAAACTACTTGAAAGATTAAAACATATAGGTGAAGTTGAATGACGTTCTTGTACTTGAACAAATACTGGACGAGTATCTTTAAGAAGAAGAAGAAAAAAAAATCAAAGAATTATTCAAATTTATATATATTATTCTTGTTTTATATTTTTAAATAACAAACCTGAAGTAAGACCAAATTGTTTTAATAAATTTTGTGATTTAACAAGATTTGATTGTTTATCATCATTATCTTGTGAAACATTTTGTTCTTGTAAACCATTTCGTTGTAAATCTTTTATTGCTTCTTGTGCAAGCATATCAGCTAAACGATTTAATAATGATCGAGCTTCACATGCTTCACGTTCTAATGTGCTTGCAAAATCATCAAGTGGAAAACCAAGTAGAAGACCTTTTTTTTTATAGGATGAAAATAAATATTTATAATTATGATTTTAATAATTGAACTTACTCATCAATGCTAAATCATCTTTTTCATCAAGAAAAGCATCATGTTCACGTAAGCTCAAATATCCATAAAAAAGACTAAAAATAAGAGAAAAATTTATAGAAGCAATTTAGCAAACAAAAATTTCTATTCATAGAATAAAGATTATCTTTATAAGATGATAATGAAGTTCATAGAGATTGAAATCATATGACTATACGAAACAAGGATTGTTTTTATGTAGTATATATATATATCTCGAGAATAGAGAAAATCAAAAGTATTAATATTTAAAAAAAATTTTACTTCTTACGTGGGAACTACTCGAACGTATACTTGCCATTTCAACTCATATTAGAT